CCCTGCGTACTCAACATAGTGGGCCTCAGATCTTTGGTCTTTAGTTTGGGCCATGTTTTGGGCTTAGATGTTTAGGGCTTTGTTGGGCCATCTGTTTTCTGGTGTTTTGGGCTAGGTATATTATTGGGACTTGGATTAAGGCCCATGGAAGGGATTTGGGCCCAATTTGAAAAATTAGGCCATGTTTGGGCCTTGGGTGTTTATTTGAAACTGAGCTTTTGGATTGTTGGATTGGGCCAAGTTATGGAGAGGGTAAAAAGGTCTTTTACCCTAGTTTAGACTTTTTGTATGAGTTAGGATCCCAATATTTATTTGGATTATGTTTTGTGATTATAGCATGGGGATTTTAGTGGGCCAGCAACCAGAGATTATCTGCGGGATTCAGAAGTGCAAGGTGAGTCTCCTCATTGAGTTTAGCGGGTCGAAGGCACCAATGTCGGCCTATGGTTTATATGTTAGGATGCTAGATGCCTGCATGACTCTTGCATGTGTTATGTGATGGTATGCTTACCGGGAAAGGTCCGATGCCAGGTGGAGTCTGATGAGTATATTGTATGCTAGTTATCAGTATGTGTTTTTATGCTTATCGGGCGAGGCCCGATGCCAAGCGGGGTCGATAACTGTATGGTATGCTATAGTATTTGTGATTATTGCATGTTCCAGTAAGATTATATGTTTATATGATTATGTGTGTATCGGGCAGGGCCCAATGTCAGGCGGGGCCTAGTGATTGACAGATCTGTAATCCGAGCGGGGCACGATGTCGGGCCAGGCCCGATGGAGGGCAGGGGCCTAATATGTGATCTATGTATGTGTGGTATGTGGTATCTTGGGGAAATTCACTAAGCTTTGTGCTTACGGTTTCCAGTTTATGTTTAAGGTACTCCAGTTCTCAAATGGAAGAGCTCGGGATGATTGCAGAACACACACCACATGTTTCCGCATTCTGTGATTTACTTTGATAACGATGATGTATTAATAGAGTTTTGATTACCTTGGTTTATGAAATTGAGATGATGTACTATTTTAGTAATTTAAAAATGAAAATTTTTTGGGTCTTAAGTGGGACGTTACAAGTTGGAATCAGAGCCTTCGTTTGAAGGATTCAGACACACTCTCGGGTATGTCTGAACTCAAACTGAGGATTTGGTAAAGTTTTTTTCAAAATGAAAAAAATGATTTAATATATATATATATATACTATATATATATAATATATATAATATAGGTTTTATGGAAAACAAAAAAACCCTAAACAAAACCCTAAAAGTCATAAAAATGCAAAAAAAAAAAAATAGAGATCACAAAACGTTTTTTTGAATTTTTTTTATCAAAAATTGCAGCTTTTAACATAAAATCGCTGAAAATTTTTTTGAAAATTTTTTTTCAAAAAAAAAAAATGATTTTTTATTTTTTTTCAGCGAAATTGTCAAAAAGGCTGCGATTTTTTGATAAAAAAAATTCAAAAAAAAGTTTGTAATGTCTATGTAATTTTTTATGCATTTTTATGATTTTAGGGTTTTTTTTGTTTTCCAATAACCCTTCCCATATATATAGATATATATATTATATATATATATATATTATATATAGATATATATATATATAGATATATATATAAACAGACATATAATATAGTAATGTAATAAAAAACAATTGAACATATATGAACACAAATAAACTTAAACGAACGAACATAAATGAACAACATAAATAACGTTCACGAAAATAAATGAAAGAATAAGATCATCGTTCTTATTCGTTCGTTAAGTAAATGAACAAGAATTTTATGTTCATGTTTGTACATTTATTAAAGGGAAATATCCAGAAAAGTCATAAAATTTTACCCTAATTTACGAAAAAGTCCCAAACTAAAATTTGTTACGAAAAAGCATGAATGAACCGTAAAAATGACGATTTGACCCATTTTTTTTTCCGGTTACCCGTTTTATTACTTACATGTTTCATTAAAGTCCCATTATTTTACCATAATTTGCGAATAATTTCCAAAATAAAATTTACTGATGATTTGGACCTTTTTTTCATGTAACATACATTTTATCGGTTTCATTGCTGACTTAGACACATAGTCATTAAATTAGCTGATAAGATGAATACGATTGTTTATATAATGTCACATTTACTATAAAATTTGATACCCATCTCATCGGCTCATTTATGACTATGTATCTACGTCAGCAATGAAACCACTAAAATTGTTGTTTCCAAGAAAAAAGGGTAGAAAATGAGTTGATGTCGGATGAGATGGATATATTGGGTTACCTAAGATTAGAGAGACAATTTGGATATTTCTTATAAACGTAAAAAATAACGCAGTTATTGTTAGTTTATGTAATTATTGTAGTCTTCGTATGATGCATATTATGTTCCAAAAAGATATACAATACATCAGGATATCAAGTTTTATGCTAAACATAACATTATATAACTCAACATATCCATCTCATCATCTTATTTAATGACTAGGCATCCGGGTCAGCAATGAAACCGGTAAAATGTATGTTACATAGAGAAAATGGCCAAATCATCAGTAAATTTTATTTTGGGACTTATTCGCAAATTATGGTAAAATAATGAGACTTTAGTGAAACAGGTAAGTAATAAAACCTGTAAACCGGAAAAAAGGGGTCAAATCGTCATTTTTACCGGTAATTCATGCTTTTTCGTAAACAAAATTTAGTTTGAGACTTTTTCGTAAATTAGGGTAAAATTTTAGGACTTTTCTCGAGATTTCACTTTATTAAATAAACGAACATAATTGAACTTTTCGTCAAACGATTCACGAACGTTCAATGTTCGTTTGCAGCCCTATGTGTGTTTATATTTTAGAAAACTTTTGAAATTGAAAAATATAACAATTTCCTTTTGAGTAAGTTACTTGTAATTTTAAAAATTGAAATATTCTCTTTTTTTATAAAAAAATAGGAAAAATATTAATCCAAACACACGTTTTTTTTTTTTTATTAAATAAGGGACTTTCCATCAAATCACCCTAAGCTTCCTTTAGATCTTTTTTTAAATTAAACTTTTTAGAAAGTTTGTGCTGGATGGGTCCTATAAGCAATAAAAGACTCGATTGCTACAAATATAATAATATTATACAATTTCATAATTGTTAAGTATTATAGATATGCGTGTGGATTTTAGGCGTGTTCGGTAAAATTAGTTGGTAGTGGGTAGTTTGTAGCGGGTAACTTGTAGCTTGTTGTAGCGTTTTGTTAAATGTTACGTGAAATAACATTTAATTGGATTTGAAACGTTTTGTTTAAACTAAACGCTAGAAGCTTGTAGTGCTGAACGAGACTTTCTGTTCAAAACGGAGCGTTTTGTCAAACGTAAAAAATAACGCAGTTATTGTTAGTTTATGTAATTATTGTAGTCTTCGTATGATGCATATTATGTTCCAAAAAGATATACAATACATCAGGATATCAAGTTTTATGCTAAACATAACATTATATAACTCAACATATCCATCTCATCATCTTATTTAATGACTAGGCATCCGGGTCAGCAATGAAACCGGTAAAATGTATGTTACACAAAAGAGAAAATGGCCAAATCATCAGTAATTTTATGTTGGGACTTATTCGCAAATTAGGTAAAATAAGGAGACTTTAGTGAAACAGGTAGTAATAAAACCTGTAACCGGAAAAAAGGGGTCAAATCGTCATTTTTACCGGTAATTCATGCTTTTTCGTAAACAAAATTTAGTTTGAGACTTTTTTCGTAAATTAGGGTAAAATTTTAGGACTTTTCTCGAGATTTCACTTTATTAAATAAACGAACATAATTGAACTTTTCGTCAAACGATTCACGAACGTTCAATGTTCGTTTGCAGCCCTATGTGTGTTTATATTTTAGAAAACTTTTGAAATTGAAAAATATAATAATTTCCTTTTGAGTAAGTTACTTGTAATTTTAAAAATTGAAATATTCTCTTTTTTTATAAAAAAATAGGAAAAATATTAATCCAAACACACGTTTTTTTTTTTTTATTAAATAAGGGACTTTCCATCAAATCACCCTAAGCTTCCTTTAGATCTTTTTTTAAATTAAACTTTTTAGAAAGTTTGTGCTGGATGGGTCCTATAAGCAATAAAAGACTCGATTGCTACAAAATATAATAATATTATACAATTTCATAATTGTTAAGTATTATAGATATGCGTGTGGATTTTAGGCGTGTTCGGTAAAATTAGTTGGTAGTGGGTAGTTTGTAGCGGGTAACTTGTAGCTTGTTGTAGCGTTTTGTTAAATGTTACGTGAAATAACATTTAATTGGATTTGAAACGTTTTGTTTAAACTAAACGCTAGAAGCTTGTAGTGCTGAACGAGACTTTCTGTTCAAAACGGAGCGTTTTGTCAAACGCTAGAAGTTAGAAGCTTTCAAACGCTCCGTGTCAAACACGCTCTTAGATGTTGAAACAATTCGAGTGTGCAACATGGTAGGGTGGCCAGCTGTGTGACCAGTCACGGAGCCAAACCGAAAATCAACTGCGGTCCATCATATAATTAATACAATAAAAATATTGATAACTTTGGAAAATGTTTTTCTTTCGATGATGCAAATTATACAATGGTTTAATAAAGAAATTTGATTACACAAATTACCCAATATGTCTTCATTTCAGAACTAATAAAACTAATAAATTTGTTGGTTGTTTCCATTATCAAAAAAATCTAACATGTTGGTTGTTCCATTTCCGAAATTGTTAAACTTAAAGTAAATTTGTTTATAGTCTATAAAAACAGTTTACAAAATATAAACTAAATATATATACAGATTATTAAACATAAAAGCAGTTTACACAACACAAACTGATAAAATAAACAAAGGACCAATTGCTAGCATAAAAGTCGAAACTAATAAAAACTATCAATATTAACACTAAGCCATTCATAAAACTAAGTAAAAACACAATCACTGTCAAATTATTAACTAATAAATTTTCATGATTCTTTCTTTTTATTTAGTAGGGATCCAATTCCATTTCATGAGTTGGTTTTGAATCTTTCTTGCAAAACCAAATACGTAGCACAGAAGAGACAAGATATGGTTGTGATGAAACTCATGAAAGTTTAAAATCAGTGAAGTGGGTGCCTAGTAATATCAATAAGGGATTATTGACTTAAAAAAAACATATATATTTGGCACAACCAAGTGGAGTGCATGGACCCCATTCCATACACACTAGCTCCTCCACTTCGTGTAACATGAACACCTCCGGATCAAGCAGGTACAACAAATGGCTTAAATAGAATACTGTAGGCATCATCTCATAAGCTTGACAATATCCCGGCTGTAGTCATTAGTCATCTGGCCAGATGGTGAAGTAAGTCTGTAGAAAACTAGTGATTAGAATAGCAGTAGCGACCAATAAAGCCATTGTCTTCCATGGACTGCTAAAGTAGATGTTAATCAACTCCGCCGCCCACGTCTTATACTTGTTATTACAGTGCTTCTCAATTCCTCGTCGGAGCTGGTTAAACATGTGGACATTAACCGCGGGTGCATCAATCTCATCGTACACCTTCACCACATCTTCATCTCGACCAAGACTATGAAGCAATATGTTGTTGTCTCGTAACTCCTTCACGTCATCAGGCCGAATAACCAGTGATTTCATTACACGAATATAAGTCGAAACTCGAAAGTCATTAGGATTATGTGGGCACATCTCGTAAGCGATCATGTTCAAGTAAATAGCTTTTGAATTCGAGTACACCGCTCGACTAACAAGCTCAAGCTCACCATAACAATAATGTGAGTGAAACTTGATGTCTCCATTTGAAGACTCGTCATCGACCTTAGTACATTTCAAGAAAATCCCTTTAGCTTTCAGTTCCGTAACTGACGCAAAAGATCGATTTCGCTTTACATAATTCCATTTTTCATTAGTATCAATGTCCAAGTTTTCTCTCCAATGCCACATGCTCGAATTACTCGATTGAACATGAGCAAAACACGAGGAAAGCGAGATGAAATAGGACCTGTAAAGCTCGAGAAGATGAAGAGGTTGCTTCTTTTCAAGCACATTTTCTTCCTTACCGATGATTTCACCATAGTTCAAGTAGTTAAAAAACCAATTTAAGATCCTTTCGCCTCTATCTTCTGGGAATCGCAAATCCAACAAAACTTGGAGTACTATAAATGGGATTTGGTTCTCGAGCAACAGAATATCACGAGATATATGCGCAAAGCCCAATGCGCCTAAATACTCGTTATTTAGCATCAACATAGTGTTCTGGCTAGCAACACATTCTATAAAGAACAAAATGAAGCAACCATCAAGCAACATCATGCGATTAAACTGCTCGTCATTATATTCATCTGTAGAACCATGGATATAACACTTTCTAGCATCGTGTATCACCTCGAACACCTTGTTGTATAAGTATAACGAATCCATGGAATTATTTTGAGTTCCACAGCTCAAACGATATTCCTCGAGAGTTACAAGCTTGTATTCGTTGGCTGCGGAGAAGTCGTCTCGGTTATGGTGGTAAGGGCCAAGTGAAACCACTGCTGGCTCATAACAATGGCGGTTTCTTTCACCTTTTTCGCCTTTTAAGAGCAATGGATGTACTTTTTGCATTTGTCGTTTGCGTTCTGAATGTTGGGTGTTGTCATTGTCTTCAAAGCAGCCTTCCCACTCCCGGGCAACGTCGTGGATGTTAATCTTGTCGACTGGTTCCGGTTGATTACCTTGCGGTATTTCAACTCTTACATCTTCACTTCCGGACATCTCCATCTCATTTGATTTTTTTTTTCTTTACAAAGAATACCCGTTTTTTCAACAAATAAGAGACTTGCTTATCAAATAAAAATCAACTATCAGCCATAGTAAAAAAAAAGATTTCTTAACATAATTCATTGTTTGATTATCAAATTAAAATATAAGCTTTAAACTTTGATTTTGAAAGTAGACTTTCTAGAAACTTAACTAAATTATAGTAAAATCAATTGTCTTTAAATTTCTGATTTTTAGTCTCATGTTTTTATGTTTATTTTTTCTCTTTGTATTTGTACCTTGTAGCTCTTTGTTTGTTTTAATAAAAATTTTGCCAGCCATACGTAAAAAGAACCTAATTAATAACCTGATTAAGGTAACATAATTCATTATTTGATATGTATTGACTTATTAGCTATTTATAAAAAAATGTATTAACAATTTAACAAACTAATTTAAATTAACCATGCAAGCACATACATTTTGTTTTTTTCTTTCTTATGTCAGGGGTTAGCTAGATTAGAATTTCATTGTATATATGATAATTTTTTTTGAAGTTGTATGATATATGCATTATTATTGTCTAGAATGTAAGATGTGTTGTGTCGTTTAATAGTTATATCTGCTGTCATGCCTAACTATTCTAGGGGTTCAAACATGAAGGTTTTTCTTATGATATGCGGTTAGCGGTTTTTAGTTAATTATCTTGGGTTCTTGTGGGTTTCTTATTAGTTGCGGTCTTGCGGATCCAAAACCAGGAGTGATCCATTTTCCTAGATTGTTAGTCTATCTTTTTTCTTGCATAGTAATACATTCTTTGGATTTAAATATATTGAGGTTATTTTTTCTGTGTATAATATACATATATTATGCGGTTAGTGGTTTTTTACCGTTTCAACAAAAAAAAAAAAACTATGACTTCCTACAATAATAATACTTCCATGAATTTATCTATATGCATATACTACTATCCCTGTGCATATGACACGATCGTAGATTAGGGCATTGTTTCCTAGGCGATAATCGACTCCATCAAAACCTTTTACAAGTATAAACATAAAGTTTTCTCCACTTAATAATAAACACACATGGAGATACATAAATAAATAAAAAGAGAGTGAAAGAAAGAAAGAAATGGAGATACATAAATAAATACAAAGAAAGTGAAAGAAAGAAAGAGAAACAGCTATACCAATACCTTTGTTTTTCTGTTGAAAGCATGACCTGATGACCTGATTTGCTTGTTTGAAACGAGAGCGAGTCATATAGAAAAACCTTCAGATGCTTAATATATTAATAGCCAAAGTGGAGCTTGCAACAAAAGTGAAGTCTTGCATCAAAAGTCGATATATATATATATATATATATATATATATAGATATATATAATATATATATATAATATATATATATATATATATAGAATATATAGATATATATATTATATATATATATATAATATATATATATAGATTGAGATCCGTTGAGAACTCATAGTTTTCCGAGAAACCGAGAATTACAAGTGGACCGTTAGATTAAAATTAACTAATTAGCATGATCGTCATCAAACCAATCATATTTACTGTTTGATTTTTTGTGTTATTGGAAATATTAATAAAAATATCGAAATATTAAAATAACAAATCAAATTTTTGGATTAAAAAAAAAGTTCAAAATTTTAGAAATATGTAGATTTTTCAAAGTCTTTTTTTAGAAAATATGAATTTTTAAAAAAAACTGAACAAAAAATATTTTTTTTAAAAAAACTGCAATTTTTTTAAAAACAGTAAATTTTTAAAAATCAATAAATTTTAAAAAAAATAGATTATTAAAAAAAAACTATAATTTTTTTAACCAAAAAAATCAACGTTTTAGGTACATATATCCATATTTTTTCAAGTGCATATATACATATTTCTTATACCATGATATTCATAAGTAATCATAAAAAAAACCTCATTTTTATGTACTAATTTATAAACACAATAGTACAAGTATTTTATTCGATAAAAAGATAAAATATATAAAAAAAATGTTACAAAGATTCACAGTGTTATTATTTCTTTGTGTCAAGATTTCCAAATTTTCTTCAGTTTATCACTTTTCACCTCTTCAATATTTTCCACAAGTTTTTCCAAATCTACAAGAATTTTTTTTTATTAATGCAAGAACACTCACAACAATGCATATCTATATATCATGTAAGATTCACATGTGATTATATAATGTGATATTCACATATGATTGTATATTTTAAGATTCAAATGCAAAATTCATAAAAAAAAAATTTAAAAATAATTAACAAAGAGCAATCATGCAAAATACATTTGTGCATATAGACGTAATTCATATTAAATTCACTTGTGCTTTATATGTGAATCATATTTAATTCATATGTGAATCACATGTAATTCGTACGTGATTCATTTGTGATTTACATGTGAATCACATTTAATTCACTTGTGATTTACATGTGAATCACATGTAAATCAAATGCTCAAAAGTTGTTGTGTTGTGAACAAAAAGAATTCAAGTTAACCATTATACATAATGAAGAAGTGGTAAATCATCCAATCAAAAAAAGTTAAAAGAAGCATAATTGATAGATTCAAATCATCACATGCACACTAGTTGTAAATAATTGCACCAGATGAGATAATTATTTTACCTTGGTTTTACTATGTCATGACCTCGATGGTTTCAAGAAATCAAACTCCATAATGGTGTATGTGTTACCAAAATTTAATTACTAACTGCATCATAGGGTTGACAACCTTCTCCACAGATCCTACAGTTCCATAATATAAATAAATGAGATAACATAACAAACCTTAGTGCATATAAAAATATTGCAAAATACAAGCTAGCGATCGAAACTAGTTATAGACTTTAAGTCTTGAATATCTTCTTTTATAATTTTTATCTACAAAAGACCAAGGATTGCAGCGAAAATTAAATAACTCACAATTAAATCAATTTTGTTGATCATCAATCAAAAACTTTTATTAAACCATAGCAAGTCAAACGTTAAATATTACTAAATTTATAAGGATAAATAAATAGTAAGAGAAAATGTTACCTTACTAACAAGACTAAGAACCAGAACTTGACTTCTAAACCTATACCTATTTCTGCATTCTCGTCACATATTAATGTTAGTAAATTAATAATCATAATCTTAAAGAAGAAAAAAAATGCAAAACATAAATTAATTTTATAAATTATACCACATGAGAACCATATCCATTAGAAACTCCTTCTTTTTGAAGGTTTTCCCTCACCGCCTGTTGCATCCTTACTGTTGTTGTATGATGATGGTCCATGCCTACCACCATGTTTATAGGAGTCTGCATATTTATCTACATAAAATAATTTATTTCTCATTTCTTTATCATAAAGTAAATGAGACTGAGTGCTTTGCGTGTGACTTACACTTTGAGAATCTTGTGCAATCCCAAGAACCACCAGAACGAATCTGGATTAAAAAAAAAAGCAAGGTCTTACGAGTGAGTGCAATGTACATGGTTAGTTAGTTATGGTTATAGAGAGAACCTTGGAAGTGAAGTTCTTAAGTTTGGTTGACTCGCATAGGCAACCAAGGGACCCTTGAGTACAGGATGTTTATTCAATGCTATTTCCAGCTGTGCAGGAGGAAGCTAATAACAAAATTCACATTTCGTAAATCAATCATTTACAAAAACAAAAAAATTTCAATCATATTATTATTACCTGAAGTAGAACCCTGAAAGATTGAGGTTTTATTAGCTGAGCATATTTTAAGAATCCTACCCACAACTTTGGATTCTTCCATATCTGAAGAAAACAATAAATCATTAATTTTGTAGATAAAATATGTAATAATAGTACCAAAATTATAACAATCCTTGTGCCTAACACTCATATTCGACTCTCTCTCTCCCTCTCTCTCTCCCCTCTCTCCCTCCTCTCTCTCTCTCTCTCTCTCTCTCTCTCCAACCACTCTAAAGTTTTATATAAAGTAATAAATATATATACCCTCTCATGTATTTCTTAAACTCTTATATAAAAAATACTCCATTTGATACATTTTTCCAAGCAAGAAAAAAAATCATGGATTTACAGTAACAAAAGCCTTTGATCAATAGCCATTCCAAGAAAGAAAGCGTGAACAAAGCTTGAAGAGCTTGTATCTACAAGAATTTCAGGAGCCATATGATAAGTATGTCCCTCTTTGGAAACCATAAGACTGAAAATGATCAAAAGGTTGGCAATTTGTATAAAAAAATGGAATGAAATGCATTTGAAGAACCAAAGAACATAAATTGTATATATGTTGCTTTTCACCTTGGTTGCTTCTGAAACAAAATGAACCATAATTTATCTCCCTTGTTCGAATGTTGTTGCTAATATGTGTGCAACCAATGAGCATCTATCTGCATTATTAATGAACCATGAATTATATATATATATATATATATATATATATATATATATATATATATATAAAAGTTCAATTAAGAAAATAAAAAAGGTCGAGAATGGGGGAATCATTCTCAGCCAATCATTTATTTTTGCTGCAAAACGCTCCGGCGTACCGGGCCGACGGGGGTTGAGTAATATTCATATATGAATATAGATATATGTGTATTCATATATGAGTACACCACCTCCCTCCGCCACCAACCACCACCACCGCCACCACCAATCACAACTGCTACCACCACCACCAACAACCGCCACTACCCATCGTCGCCATATTCGTATATGAATAATCACTTCCATTATACTAATCATATATATATATATATATATATATATATATATATATATATGAATATACGTATTCATATATGAATATGATCTGTTTAGTCGACCCGGTACTCTGGAGCGCTTAAGCGGAAGATTCAAAATGAGTGACCCTATAGATATATATATATATATATATATATATATATATATATATATATATATTATATATATATATATATATATATATATATATATTATATATAATATATAGGGCCGGTCCATTTTTTTTTTTGATTTTTGAGACCAGAGAGATAAATTTTTATGCGCTTATATATGTATTGTACGATGGACGAAACATAAAAATAAAAAATATATATAAACAAAACTACAACAAATTTTATAATCAAACATATTATACAAACAAAAACCTACAAAAATAAGCTAAAAAGATGTTTCATTTATATTTTGAAGTAAAAACATCTTTTATTTTATGAACTTGAAAATTATATTTAACTTTTTTGTTACTATTATTAACCAATTAGTATTCTTCAGTCACTTAATTACATAGTCTATAAAATTGATATCAATATCAAACTTGATAAAAAGAGCACGAGATTTATAAAAAAATCAAATGAGTTAGTGTTCTAATCCGCGGAGATTGGTTCAATTTTATAACTCTATGAAAATATCTTTGTAAAAATACTTGCAAAATGACAACAAAAATAGAATTAGGGTTTAGTTCTTTTGAACTACTTGAAATAAAACTAGAGTTAAACTAAGATTTAAATAGACAATTCAACAAAAATAAGAGTTTGATGTAAAATCAATAAGAGAGAAATTGTTGACTTAAGGGTGAATATATCATTAGGATCCAGTTGTGCAATACTTGTTTTAAATCTTTAATTTGGCTATAGTAATCCAAGAAGCTTGAGATTACCTAGACTTTTCTTAGTTGTTAAAATGGTTAGATAAGCTCATAACAATTTCCTTAGTCAAAGTCACAATTTCCATTAAGCATGTAATTAGTGAAAGTCAACTAGCATTAAGAACTAAAAGTCACTAAATCCAATAGGAGTCAAATGCTTTCACTACCATGTTGGAGAAAATGTTTTTATGATTGTGTGAAGTAAAACCAACACAAAAATCATTTGTTGATTTGTAATTTTAGGATCCTTTACTTAATCAAGAAATTAGCCAACTAATCACCACAAGCACATTTAAACTCATGAATAAAAACATACAAGTAGTAATAAGATGTTAAAATACAAAACATTATCATAAAGATTCAAGAACAAGTTCATGGAGTCTTCAACATTCAACAAACATTTAAAGGATTTCACCAAAGTCAACCAAGTTTAGTTTAGCCTAGCATGGCTAAACTCAAGAAACTAAAGCTAAAGTAAAATGTACCAAACATGTAGCAATATTTAGAGATGAAAAGATGATGCACACCAACCTTCCTCCAACAGCCTTCCAAATGAAATTCTGAAATTACCCCTGCAGTGTTGTGCGTGGCCGCGTAACTGTGCG